GAAAATGTTAGATGAATGGTTATAGACAGGAAAGATACAACAGCTACTACCCCCCACCTTCAATTAAACATCATATTTAGATCCTCCTATTCTTTTATTACTTTCAATTTTACCGACAAAATGCATGCAAAACAACATAACAGTATATATATAAACTTGTAAAATTTACATAATCTCATGGAAGTCTAGTATAATATTTATGCATCCTTACGTATTCATATAAATAACAATATAAACATAATAATAATATTATTTTTTCTATTTTCTTATTACACCTTTAATGTTTAAGAGATATTTCTAAAGTAAATTATCTGAAAAATATAAAATCAAGTGTAACCTGCACCCAGGTATATTATAACAATACATCTAATTAAATCTATGCATCCTCACGAAAAAATTCGATTAAAATTTTGCCACTTACTTTTTGAAAACTAAAGCTTAAAACAAGTGCTTCTATAGTTTTAAAATATTAATTTGTTAGGCTACAAAAAAAAGTAAAAATGATGTAACGTGAGATAAAGTCAATTGGTCAACTTTAAGTCGACCTGGAAAATTGATGCAACTTTTTAAAGCCGACTAGATCTCTGTGTTTTATGTAAAGGTTTAAGATTTATAATTAGTTCACAAAAGAAAAAATTGTACTTGAGATTGAAGTTCTTTGCAAGTTGTCACTGTCAGGGCATTGGAACATATGGAAATTCATCATCACATGGAAGAACAATGTTCTCCCATCAAGCACTACAAATTTCGATATAAAAAATTGCAACAAAAGTCACTTATTTGGTAGTCATCCAACTTTTGCTGTCAAAAAGTCACTTATTTGGTAGTCATCCAACTTTTGCTGTCAAAAAGTCACTTATTTGGTAGTCATCCAACTTTTGCTGTCAAAAAGGTGATTTTTTAAAAGTCACTTATTTGGTAGTCATCCAACTTTTGCTGTCAAAAAGTCACTTATTTGGTAGTCATCCAACTTTTGCTGTCAAAAAGGTGATTTTTTTCTCGGTAATTTGGCAGCCATCTAACTTTTGCTGTCAAAAAGGTGATTTTTTTCTCGGTAATTTGGCAGCCATCTAACTTTTACTGTCAAATTTTGATTCCAAAATTTAGAGCGGCAAGATGGAGAAAAAGATAAATCTCCTAAAATCAAGTTCAAATCAATCTATATATATATATATATACTTTGCTTGTCTGTTTGTTTGTTTGTATCCAATAAACGTCAAAATGGCTGAACGAACGGGCCCAATTTTTCGGTGAAAATTTCTGTTTAAAGTTTTTTTTATTGTAAAATTTTGAAAATGCGCGAAAAACTACATATTTACTTGTAGCGAGAATTTCGTTCGGGAGAACTGCACTTCACCGGAAATTGACTTTTCCTCGTGTTTTCTCGTTTTTTTTTGATGAAATTTCATCCCTCACTTAAGCTCGTGATAAAATGTCATCAAAAAAGTCTCGAAAACACTTGGAAAAGTAATTCCCGGTAAAGTTGGTTGTTCTCCCCGGGTAAATCCTTGCAAGTAAATGAATAGTTATTGAAACTTTTTATATAGTATACAAAGAGAAGATGCTTAAAGATAAAAACACGATTAAAAGTTGAAATGAAAGATGGGCCCGAAGCGCCCTAAAAGCCTAGCATACAATACCTTCTAGTGTTTCCAATGTCACATTGTATTATGGGGGAACAAAAATTATAAATTTAGATGTTTCATAAAAATTTGCTTGACATTTTCAGAAATATAATAGTTTAAGCAATTATAAGAAGGAACTGAACTGGAATAACTTTAAAACTTTGGTCTAACAAGATTCGTAGTTTAACTCATATATTTCACTGTGAAATCAATTTGCCTATAATATAACAGTCATAAAAGTCTTTAGTATCAAACAACTTATCAATTTATAGAAGAAGACATTTTAAACTATTCTTCAACTGTCATGTTTCGTGGGACACCCTGTAGGTCTGCCATACAACCTTGCAAAATTACTAAGATCTTATAATTAGTGAATTAAGAGAACTAAAGGGAACTTAACCATAGCTGTGATGTATGCTATGCACGTATGTATGTATGTCACTGTTTTGTGCGTCCTCGGTAGTGCTTTTTCAATGTGCGTCCTCCTAAGTCCTCACATATATAAGCAAGCACCATAAATAGTGCTTGGGTCCGTAAAAGTGGTGCCTATTTTGCAACAGACTTTGCTATTTTATAAACTAGTTTGTTCTTATTAAAAACGTGCATAACAACCTGTATTCTTGTTTTTCAATACAATTTTCAGATGTTAAAAGAGTTATAACATTGTTAAAAAGTAAAAAGTTTTTGAATTGCTTCAAAATCATTCTTAAAATAGTTTCATCTTATTTCCAAGAACTTTTTTATAATCTATCGAAATCTTCTATAAAAAGATTGAAATTATAATAAATTTGTTTGTTTTTCAATTTGTTTTCAAAAGAAATTTAAACGGCGGAAAGGGGTATTTTTTCGAATCTAAATCTATGTAAAAGAAGTTTCTGGGAAAAAAAGCCTGAAAATAAAAACTTTGGAAAAAAGTCCAAATTTTCTCAAGTCCTTGGGAGAAAAGTCACATATTACATATAATAAATTCAAAACCTTTTTAAATGAGTTGAAACATATAAGATTACGTCAAATACAAAACTAGAGGAGCCACGAGGTCACAAAGTTGAGGTTGCATAATTTTGGTATTCTCCATCTATCTGTTTTGCAGATGGTTTGTATTCTCCATCGGTCTGTTTTGCAGATGGTTTGTATTCTCCATCTGTCTGTTTTGCAGATGGTTTGTATTCTCCATCTGTCTGTTTTGCATAATTTTGGTATTCTCCATCTGTCTGTTTTGCATAATTTTTGTATTCTCCATCTGTCTGTTTTGCATAATTTTTGTATTCTCCATCTGTCTGTTTTGCATAATTTTTGTATTCTCCATCTGTCTGTTTTGCACAATTTTGGTATTCTCCATCTGTCTGTTTTGCATAATTTTTGTATTCTCCATCTGTCTGTTTTGCACAATTTTTGTATTCTCCATCTGTCTGTTTTGCATAATTTTTGTATTCTCCATCTGTCTGTTTTGCACAATTTTGGTATTCTCCATCTGTCTGTTTTGCATAATTTTTGTATTCTCCATCTGTCTGTTTTGCACAATTTTTGTATTCTCCATCTGTCTGTTTTGCATTTAAAACTAAGCAAACATAAACTAATGAATATAATTCTTATTTGTTTAAATTTTTTCATTTTGTTGGTAATAATTTGATTATTTATTGGTAAATAAAGGTTTAGAAATTGTCAATCAAATATTTTCTACAGTGAAAACTCTGAAATAGGAAGTCGACTTTTAGACTCAAGTTATGACTTTAAATAGTCTAATGATAATGCGGCACAGCATGTGTGCAGTGTATACAGGCCTATTTTACGCAGTCAATTATTTAATAACTTACTAGTAAAGCAATTTGCTTTCTAACAACATCAAATGCACTTCACTATTGCTTTCATGTCGTCTTCCTATTCCAGAGTTTTCTGGTTAATACTGTATCGTAATTTAGACTAAGATTTTTAATTTTTAATCAAAAATTTAAGAACCTAGACTTTCTTTATAAAGGAACAATTCAAAAAAGTTGAAACTTTTATTTTTTTTTTTACAAGTTGTATGTGTATTAAAACTCATCATTAGTGGTCCAACGAAATTGTCAACAAGCTACACAAACAGTGGCGTAAATAAGGGGGGTTATTGGGGTTATTTACCCCCTCTTAAAAATGTCAAAATCAATATTATTGTGACAAAAGCAAAATAACTAAAATAGAAAATACTTCTGGTTTAAGCTTTATAAATCCGGTCCACAATCTTTAAATTTCCAAACTACCGATATTGAATTTAGCAAAATTATGTTCACTGACTGAATAATTGACAGAACGGATGATGGTTTCCATGGCTTCCATGCCATACCATACATAAATATTGACAAACGACCACAACCTAAATTGTCCCTTTTTTCTATATTTAAACAGATACAAAATCTTTGGTTTAAAAGTTATGTCTTGATTGCCCTCTGTTGTAAATACGATCTTATTATCTAATCTTATTAGAAACAAGCTTGGGATTCCAGCGATGCCAAGTTTACTAAAAGTTACTCCTGCCTTTACCCGCACTTTACCAATTTTAACAGGAAATAAAATTTTCGTTATTAAAGTCTACCCACTCAACTTAATATCTCAAAACCAAGCTAAGCACATTCTAAAGTTCTCAAAAAAAAATTTGAGACAAATCGGTCAAGGGGTTTCTGAGTAATGATCGGAAAAACAAACAGACAGTCAGACAAACAGAGATTACAAATATATAAAGATAAGATGATAAGATGATAAGATGATAAGATGATAAGATGATAAGATGATAAGATGATAAGATTATCAGATGATAAGATTATAAGATGATAAGATGATAAAATGATAGGATGATAAGATTATAAGATGATAAGATTATGAGATGATAAGATGATAAGATGATAAGATGATAAAATGATAGGATGATATAAGATGATAAGATATGATGATAAGATGGTAAGATGGTAAGATGATAAGATGATAAGATGATAAGATGATAAGATGATAAGTAAATTGACTGAAGATCGGAAATCATTGTTTCCAGAATTGAGGTTTGCAAAGAGAACGCGGAGAGTAATCCTGGGAGGCTGAGTTGAGATGGAACCCAGTTACCTGAGAACCAGTACACGTAAACCATCCTATATTATTATCTCTCCACGTATAGATTGTAATACTGGAGAAATATTTATCTCACCACATTATATACGTTCTCGTTTAGTGCAGATGAAATGTTTCTCTCAAACCATTATATACGTTCTTGTTTAGTACAGAAGAAATGTTTATCTCAAACCATATACGTTCTTGTTTAGTACAGAAGAAATATTTCTCTCAAACCATTATATACGTTCTTGTTTAGTACAGAAAAAATATTTCTCTCAAACCATTATATACGTTCTTGTTTAGTACAGAAGAAATGTTTATCTCAAACCATATACGTTCTTGTTTAGTACAGAAGAAATATTTCTCTCAAACCATTATATACGTTCTTGTTTAGTACAGAAAAAATATTTCTCTCAAACCATAATATACGTTCTCGTTTAGTACAGAAGAAATATTTATCTCAAACCATTATATACGTTCTTGTTTAGTACAGAAAAAATATTTCTCTCAAACCATTATATACGTTCTCGTTTAGTACAGAAGAAATATTTATCTCAAACCATCATATACGTTCTTGTTTAGTACAGAAGAAATATTTCTCTCAAACCATTATATACGTTCTTGTTTAGTACAGAAGAAATGTTTTTCTCAAACCATTATATACGTTCTCGTTTAGTACTGAAGAAATATTTCTCTCAAACCATTATATACGTTCTCGTTTAGTACAGAAAAAATATTTCTCTCAAACCATTTTATACGTTCTCGTTTAGTACAGAATAAATGTTTCTCTCAAACCAACTATGCATTCTCTTCTTGTGAAGTTTTAAGTTCAGAAGAAATTTTTTTCTTAAACCAATCTATAAGTTCTCGTTTAGTACAGAAGAATTTTTCTCTCAAACCATTATATACGTTTTCGTTTAGTACAAAAGAAATGCGTCTCTCAAACAACTATACATTCTCTTCGTGAATTGTTTTCAGTACAGAAGAAATATTTCTCTCAAACCATTATACGTTCTCGTTTAGTACAGAAGAAAAGCTTATCTCAAACCATTATGCACGTTCTCGTTTAGTACAGAAGAAATATTTCTCTCAAACCATTATATACGTTCTCGTTTAGTACAGAAGAAATATTTTTCTCAAACCATTATATACGTTCCCGTTTAGTACAGAAGAAATATTTCTCTCAAACCATTATATACCTTCTTGTTTAGTACAAAAGAAATATTTCTCTCAAACCATTATATACCTTCTCGTTTAGTACAAAAGAAATATTTCTCTCATACCATAATATACGTTCTCGTTTAGTACAATGTTTCTCTCAGTGCAAGTTTTAAGGATAAGAGAAATATTTCTCTTAAACCATAAAATGCTTTCTCTTTTTGTAAAGTTTTTATAACAGGAGCAAATTTTCTCTCAACCTATCATATACTATCTCTCTTTGTGTAGTTTTTAGCACTGGAGAAATATTTCTCTCAAACCATCTTATAGGTCTCTTTTCGTATAGAATTTGTAGTATAGGAGATATTTTGTTACGTTCTCTCCAGGGATAGTTTGTAGTACGGGAGAACCTTTCCTCTCAAACCATCCTATGCGTTCTCTCCAGGGATAGTTTGTAGTACAGGAGAACCTCTCAACTCAAACCATCCTATCTGTCCTCTCCTGGGATAGTTTGTAGTACAGGAGAACATTTCCTCTCAAACCATCTTATACGTTCTCTCCAGGGATAGTTTGTAGTACAGGAGAACCTCTTAACTCAAACCATCCTATACGTTCTCTCCAGGGATATTTTGTAGCACAGGAGAACCTTCCCACTCAAACCATCCTATACGTTCTCTCCAGGGATAGTTTGTAGTACAGGAGAACCTTTCCTCTCAAACCATCCTATAAGTTCTCTCCAGGGATAGTTTTGTAGTACAGGAGAACCTTTCACTCAAACCATCCTTTACGTTCTCTCAATCAGGGATAGTTTGTAGTACAGGAGAACCGTTCCTCTCAAACCACCCTATACGTTTTCTCCAGGGAGAGTTTGTAGTACAGGAGAACCTTACGTCCTCACCATGTACAGCATTTAAGACAGTATTGCCTTTTTGAATAAAACAATTCTCATACGATCTCAAGGAGGTTAAAGTTTAGAGCGCTTGTCTTCTATATAATTATTTATATATTTGTATGTTAACTATAGCTGGTCAAACGTCTGAAGCAATTTGGCTTAATTTCTTTATTAAACCCATGGATACCCTGGGGGTAACATAGCCTAAAAAAACAGATTTTTTTCAAGATGGAAATAATTTTCAAAATTTTTAAATTCCACGGGTAACGCCGGGCATTTGAGGTGATGTTTATTGAATTGCATTGTATGCCATTTATGGCATCAATCACTAGAATTACTATTTTATGTAAATTTTGTAAACTTATGTTTAAGTTTGTTTATGTAAATACAATCTATATTATTATAATTTTCCATATTTGTCCTCTCTCTTGTTCCTTCCTACATCTAATCTAATTACAGTCTAATACAACCTAGATCCCCAGCGGGGAAAAATGAACCAGAGTTTGCTGAGTTGGGACGGAGAAGGGAGAGGGATTGAGGATAGTGTGAACCAGAGCTGGGACGGAGAAGGAAGAGATGGAGAGAAGATAAACCATGATGAGGAGATCGTAGCTATGGTCCTTCTTGAGATGTTTCTCTCATTTTCAGGTTTAACTTAAGATCAGAAGTAAATAGAAATTCTACCATCAATCTAGATATTCTGGAAATCCAACAAAGAAATAGAGTCTTTGACACAGAATCTGATTTTCTAATCCGTATATCCTAGCAACCCAATGTCATAGATTTTGGATATTTAAAACTATGAATTCTGTCGGATTAAATAATCTTTGTTTAAATATCAAAGTTTTAAACCTTTAGACTAAAAATATAAGGATTAGAAAATATGAGTTTGTGGCAAAGACTCAATTCCTTTGCGTGATTTTTTTTGTCAAGAGAAACATTCGGTCTCATAAAATACGGCTGCTCTAGAATGCTAGAGTATCTTTTAGTGTCCTGGTCTGAACCAATTATGAGATAAATAGCGATTTTGTTTAAAGAAACTGAAGAAGCAGTTTCAAGTGACCATCTATTTGAAGAGTGGCATGTCATTTGACTTATCATAAAGGAATGAGATATTCTAGTCTTTTTTTTAGCTGTGGTCATTCTGTATAAGTGACTTGCGAATTTGTGTTTGAGGAAAAATGAAGGAAATGCTTTTAACGACAAGAAAAACGAAAATATATTTCTTATTGTTATTTAGATAAAATTTTAAAAGGGTTCCACTGTGAATAGGACATGTCACTCTTTCAATACAGGGTCGCTTGAAATTACATGATTAGTCCCTTTAAGAAGATGACTCAAACTTGGTTTAGGGATACTCTCCAACTTGCTGGTTGTTACAACAGTTCGACATCATGATCAGCTGATGAGCTCAACAGTTAATCTTCTCTTACTAAACCTTTGCTTCTCAAACCTTCTCATCTCATTCCTCGTCAAACCAATATCCGCCATTTACGGCGGATACTCAATTTCAACAGGCAGTTGGCAGGTAAAAATAGTTCTTCCGCCCGGATTAGTGCGAACTGCACTTTAATCTCCCTTGGGGCTGATTAACTTCTCGTCTACTGTCCCATTTTGCCGTATATAGTATTATATATGTACCGTACTGCTTGCTCTAGTTACCAAATAGTCGAACCGGAGTTTACAGTGACTGTACACCAAAGTGATTGACTGTATACAGCAGGTATAAGATCGGAATTGTTTGCTTATTTGATAAAATGCGTAATACACACATTTTCCTAATTAGAAACATAACATAAATAGATCTATAATATCGCTCAACGATATCCCTAGGGCCAGAACAATAAATACTTTCTATTACGTAATCATAGCGGGTTTTTCTGAAACCCAGTATTTTTCCGTTTTAAAACAATGCGTGAATCGTTTTTTTTTTTATTAATTTAGGCTTAATGTTATCTTTTTACAATCCCAAAAATATGGGCATTACTGTGTATTTTTACGGAAGTCTATAATTAGCAAGATTTACCTTTATGATGTGGATATTGAGGATGACATGAAGTTTTTCTGTCATCTTTATAGCGGATACCGGATACACAATATAGAGTAGATTTAAATTCTTCTAGATCTTTCATGAGGATTTTGAATATCCCTGCAGGAAGCCGGAAGACATTAAAAGTTATCTTCCCTGGATAGGAGAGATATCCAATATCTGCCCTGGATAGGAGAGATATCGAATATCTGTCCTTTACAGGAGAGATATCCAATATCTGTACTTTATAGGAAAGATATCCAATGATTGTTCTTTAGATATCATATAACTGCCCTAAATAGAAGAGATATCCAATATATGTTCTTAGGACAGATATCCAATATATGTTCTTTGTACAGATATCCAATATCTGCCCTAAAAGATAAGATATCCAATATCTGCCCTATAAAGAACAGATATCCAATATTTGTTATTTAAGGAGAGATATCCAACATATTTTTTTTTTTACGAGGATAACCAGTATATGTTTTTTTATAGGAGAGATATTTTATATATTTACTTTTAAAAGGCGGATATTTGATATTTTTCTTTTTAAGGCGGATATTATATACATCTGCCAATTATAGAGTTATAGCCGGCAGGAATCCAAAATTTGTCTTAAAGAGACTGAAAGCGTGTGTGACACCTCATGCAATGCACGATCAAGGGCAGCCTTAATACATTTGAATTTCCGAGCCGGGTCAACCTTTCCGGTCCCAGTTTGTACTGTATCGCCTGGACTTTGGCCAAATAAAGCAGACACTCAATATGACTAGTAGTCGGTGGAACAAGGTTGACGCGGTCAGACTTTAGGTCGAATTTACTTTTACTGAAGGGTCAGGGGTGCGTGCGATTTACAATGGCTGCACCCTTTAAACTTTTGTCTGATTATCGAGGCCAGAGAACTCTGTGTGTATATTTTTCAAAAAGTGTAAAACGGGAGTGTTCGCTAGCGTACAGTGTGAACTCAATTCAGGTGACGTAAAATGCATACCTCGAAAATACCAAATATTCTATGTTCAAACTGGTTTTCAAAAATACAATTGTAAACATTTATTTTCTGCGACTTCTAGAAAGAAAATATTAATATGTCTGAAATTTAAAAAATTATATTTAATTTAATTTAAAATTATATCGTTAGAACCGGAGAGGGTCAAATCAGACCAAATATATTTTAAAAGGTATTGTTTTGAATCAGACCACCCCTCTAAACATGGAGGGTTGCTTGAAATTATACTTACAGTCCCTTTAAATCATGAACGGGAGGTCATGGAAAGGGAAGGAAAGTTATAATTTCTACCCGCTGTGATTGTATTATCAAGTTGGTTTCTTTTCTACAATTATATCTCATCATATATAATTATATTAGTATATTTCGATTTTGTTGATAAAGTCAGGTTTCTACAATTTATCTCATCATACATAATTATATTAGTATATTTAGATTTTGTTGATAAAGTCAGGTTTCTACAATTTATCTCATCATACATAATTATATTAATATATATAGATTTTGTTGATAAAGTCTATAAAAAATAATAATAATGTTGCAGAGTACAAATCATTGTCGTTATTTAAGTTATTTTCTCAACTATTGACGATTCATTCTTTCTAAGTTTATAAATCAGTTATGTAGGAGGAGAAAAAAAACTTTGCTCAGAAGTGCATTGAACTCAATAAATAATAATATCTATCTTTTTTCCAGCTGAATCGTTTTATTTTCCTGTGGAGCAAGAATGTAATGCAAGGAAAGTTTATTGCGGTCGTGTATACTCTGCGTACATATTGAAACCAGCTCTCTTTGGGCGGAATTTGTAAACAAGAATAGATGCATCGTTGTTCGTTTAGTATCCGAGGAGGTTAAAAGCATTAAATTTTGAAATCTTTCAAAATTCACATAATAGTTTCCTATGACCAGATTATTTCATCGATTTTTTATGTGACAGATGGATCCCATTTCAGGCTTCGACATCCGTCTTGTGTTTACATTACCGCCCAGAGACAGTACACTGCAGTACAAAAGATGTGTACACTTTTGAAATAACTTTCCTTGCCTTACAATCCTTGCTGTGAAGTATATAATATTATACTATTGTTTCTTTATATTTTGTTCTATGTACACTGCTTAAAGTAATCCTACATGACTGAAACTTGATCCGCAGAACACTTAGATCGAATTTTTATAAAACAAAATTTAAAAGATCTGTTCTATAAACTTTGATAGAATTTTGTTCTAATAACCTAACAAAACATGTATATTTTAATAATGATAGGAATAGCTAAAAGGTTTTTAAATATATTTTAGAATTATCTATAGTTTTTAAACGTATACAAAAATACCAGCAACACATAAATATATTTGATATAAAAAATATTTGTTTTTGCATTTTTTATACATATTTGGGTTTTATTTATACCTGAGTCATTTTAAGTTTGTTAACATCTATCTATAATACTACGGGATACTACTATACATTACGTTTCAAAGAAATTATAAGAAATTGCCTGGGCTTGACTTCACTCGAAAAAAATACCTAAATTGATCATCCTAAATTAGTGGTGGTTAATAGGATAGAATAAGTTTGAAACGTGTTAATTTACCAAATTAGAGTATGTTTTAAAAATGAAATTAAAAATTAAAACATAAAAAAAAATTATTAAAAAATGAAAACAATAAAAAATATAAATAATTAAAAAAAAAATAAAATAAAAGTATATAGTTCATGTAAAGGAGCCTGCAGTGGCAAGGTCGATCCACATCCAACATTCCACCTTTGCAGTACAATGTAAAAATATTTTTCTGAATAGATTCTGAAATTCTTTTTAGCTAAACCCCTTGTTGTCTAGAAACTAATTGAAACTAATTCTAAAACTGGTAAATTTAAAAGAGAGTAAACCCTTTAGGTTTTATCCCCAAAGGGAAAGATTATTTTGCTCCAATTATTTTTCCTTTTTGTTGACAGGATTATGTAAAATTGAAATTGCAATTCTAAGATATACTTTCCTTACATTTGAAAGTACATAGAACAGTTCTTAAAGGAACTGTAAGCGTATTTTTAATTGACCCTCTCAAAGATGGCAATACCTAATTTACAACCGCCGTTTTTCTGACTTGAAATTTGTTTGATTCTGAACATTTTTCTATTGCTTTTAATAAGCAAGAAATGCGAAAGTCACTTTTACAGAGAACCTGCAAATGAAATAAACAGTTAAAAGGAATAACAACATGTTTATTTATTTCATACTTGATCAGCCAACGCTTTAAAGGGTACCGTTGTAAATCGGGCATTGTCATCTTTGCATTGAGGGTCACTTCGAATTATGCTTACAGTCCCTTTAATTGGTTAAAATATTTTCCTGTCAAACTTCTATCCAAGTCAGAGACTAGGAGACCATTATCAAGCCTGAAAATTATGTTGCAAGGTTGTCAAAACTTGCGTTTTACTATTTATGAATTCATCGTGAAACGCAAATTTTTTAATTGTTCAATTTATCACGCAGTACAGCGAATGCAATACCAGTTCATTTTGTAATTTAGAAAAATGTAGAGCTTAGAAATCAGTGACTATTCTCTTTAAACAAGCTGAAAACGTACCTTTTAAGTAACTCAAGTAACTTTCCCTTGCCATGTCCGATTCACCCCTTAAATCTTTGGCTGATGGATGTATGAGATATCTTTATTTTTCTAACTCAAAGCTTCTAAACAATAGTGCACACTTGTATGCTATTCCATTAGCGCCTGATCCAATCAGAGTTCAGTCATGTGTTTATTGTCAATTCTGAACCAATAGAAATAGTATTGCAGTATCATCTATCTTTCTATTTATCTCATTATCCAATTATAGTTATGAATCCTTATATTGGGACTAAACAGTAAATGGAAATATTTACTTCTACTGAAACTATAGTGAGTGGTTTCTCTGTAATAGTGACTTATAGTGAATTATGAGAATTGAACACTTTTAAAGATAGATAGACGTCTACAGTCCCTTTACACGCCCCTCTGCCCCTTTAGTAAAAGTAAATTCAGCCTATATGAAGCATAAAGTCTGACCGCGTCAACCTTGTTGCACCAGCTAGTCCTGTCCATAGAGCTAGGTACCGTACAAACTGGGGCCGGAAAGATTGACCTGGCTCAGTAATTCAAATGTACTACGGCTGCCCGTGTTTAAAGAAATTTAACGACACCCAACCTTACCGTTACAATAAGCCTTTGATTCCTTTGATAAATGATCCTAATATTTTACATGATATTATTCTTATAAAAACTTGATATATGTTTAATCCTTATTTGTGTAAACTTGTTCAAACATCCTTCTTAGATAATCTCTCTCTCTGGTTCTCCAGGGTATCAAGTTTATAGAGAAGCAATATATCTTTATACTTTACTATAGATACATCTAGAGCAATACATATTGTCGATCTATAAACTTTAAGTTTTATCAAGACCCTTTTAGCAAAGAGTTAAAATGATACAATGTATTAGTCATTTGCTCGCT